TGGGGCTATTTTCACTTCCTCACATTGTGTTCCTATGCTGCATGATTTGGAGTCCTAGAAAACAGTGCTATTTTGTATGGGCAAATTATATCAATACGTTTAGCTTACATGCAGTTGGAGCATAAGGAGTATGAAGATTTATAATATATAACTTTAATCAACAAGAAGTAACCTTTTAGGAAATTGGCCTTTGAAATGGTCCTAATCCAGCAAAGTACTTAAGCACATACTTAATTTTAAGCACCTTTGTAGTCCCATTGACTTAAATGGATTTACGTGCTTAAATGCAAGTGTGTGGTTACATTTCTTGCTAGATCAGGTCGTTATGCAAAATAGGGCTTTTGCTATTACAAGGTTGAACCTCTCCAGTCTGGCACCCTGGGACCTGACCAATGCCAAACCAGAGAATTTGCCAAATTACGAGAAGTCAGTATTATCTAGCAGCATTACCAACACTTCTACTGCTTGCTAGGCTCTTAGAAGACATTTAAGGGTAAATTAGAACTAAATAACAGCACAGAACACTGACAGCCAGGACTGGTGGCTGTAAACAAACACTATGGAAACCATGAGAAACTTGACCATACCCATGATAAGCGGACATCTGGCTAACTTAAATCACGCTGGACCATGAGTGTTGCCAGACCAGAGAGTGCTGGACCAGAGAGATTCAACCTGTACCAATTCTCCAATTATGTATATGTGATCAAAGAATGAAACAAAAGTATGGGGGTCAGTGGAATAAAGGAAAAATGTAAAATCAGTTAAAACACTTCTATACGTCATGGCTTTCTATGGGTCTTTGTTTGAATAATTGACTAATCCTACTGGCTTTACTGTCAGTGGTAGTTTTGCTATTGATTCTGTCAACATTGTGATCAGCGGTCTGACTGCACCACCTGTCGACCACCACTTGAGCTAGCTCAGATCTAGCTAGCTTGTATAGTAATAGTGAAGAAGCTGTACGTGCTGTGCAAGCCTGCCTGGGATTGTGGGTACTTGAGCAGCTAGCCTGTGCTGCTGCCCATGCTGCCATAACTTCACTGTTGTTGTTCAAGCTAGTTAGATCAAAGGTAGCTCAGATATGTCTATAGCTGTAGTTGTCACATCATTGACTGTGTTTCAGTGGGGAAAGGATTGGTCCTGCAAGAGCTACGGAAGTAACACTGGCGCAGAGACCATCATTTGATTATACAGTGTGTGCACAGAACCTAGCACAGTGTGGCTGGGTTCACTACGTGCTACTGCAATACAAATAAATAATAGCAACAATAAGCACCTGACTGTCTTTTGGGATCAATTTTATGTTCTTCAATTGCCAGAATTCTGTGATCCAGCAAGGACCCTACCCCCATGTTAAGTCTTTGGGCTGAGTTTCCTTATGCTACTGTCAAGAGCTTGAGTTGATGAAATCACAGACTTTAACCCTAGATTGTGTTTTGCCATAGTGTCATTTAGCATCCTGTTTATGGAAGAAAATAGAAGCTGTAGTGGAGGTTCACTTTAATGGGACTGGGCTCTAAATATGCCTATGCATTTTCATGAATGAGCATGACAGATTCTAAAGGAGCTGTTACCATGTTCTTCTTAACTGCCATGTGTGTTGAAAAAAATGGTAATAATAATAATAATAATCATTATTATTAAAAATACACAACAAAATATTAAGGGGGGTGATAATTTAAAAGAGCTCGCTAGCTAAGAGTGAAAACTAAAGCAGTGATCTGAGTTGTTCTCTTGTCATACGTACTGCAGCACAGATGTGTCCCAATCCTGTCTGTTCCGGAGTGCCCCCTGCGAGGTATTAAGTGCCATCCACAGCTGGCAGGAGAGGTTGGGTGACATCCTGGCCTCATTCAAATTAATTATGTCAAACATGTTGACTTCAGTGGGCCCAGGATTTTCTAGCAAAATTGGGCTCCTTGTGTATTAGGCCAGAAATTGTTTGACGAGAACTGAAAGCAGTTGAGCACACCTGGGTTAATTCTTGGTATTTCCTGGCTTTTCGTCAGATTTTATTTCTGCCAAAGAATATTTGTATTTAATTTAATAAGGAGTTTTTTTATTAGGTATTGATATAATTTTAGATCTTTGCATTTGATGATGCTATGCAGCAGGCACCTCATACTAAAACCACAACCAACAGACCTTATCAGTAAATTCCTTTCAATGACAAAAATAAAACAAAAATAAAAACACACCCATTAATCAAACAACTCATTCAACTCAGGGACATCGTGTCCTTTTCTCTCAACTGAAACTTTAACTGCCAGAGAGGAGAGAAAAGCAGTGGAGCTCTGGAATGCTGCAAAGACTATTTTCTTTAAAAGTAAAATTATTAAGATAAGGAGCAATATAGGTAGTTTGTCAAATAAAGATGACAATTATGATTAAAAGTAAGAACTGCAATAACTATGGCCAGGTAGTTAGACTGTCAAATATAGCTAGTGTTTAAAATGGATCTTGCATAAAGCCTATATTCCGACTGATTCAAAGTTAGATAACAAAGTTAAATAGCAAAAATAAACCGCTTAAGTAAAAATGATAAGGTTGGCAGACTAGTTTATAAATGAAATGTTATCGGAGGTGCAAAAATCCATTAGTCTTTCAAAAGGAAATAAGTATATATAGAATTTTCTTTAGTAAATATAATACATAGCTGCCATAATTTCCAGTGTGTCATATCCCCCAAGGGAGTTTGGGTAGCATTTCAGCGACAGATTAAATCAAAACTCTATTTTATTGGAACACAGTGTAGAAACCAGACAGACCTTGTTAAATATTGCCCTAAAAGAAAGCACAGTGAGGATTTGTAGCCTATACAATATAATTAGAGCTTCCTCTGTTTTGTGGTATGCCAAATCAAAGTTTTGTATCAAGACAATCCTATTTCCATGGCAAATTCAGTTTTTGCAGGGTTATAAACTAAGAAGAAAAACAAAATTAAACAATGAAATGATCTCTTGGGCCTAGCATAATAAATGGAAAAAATGCCACTTACACTTATAGCACAGTAGTTCAGTATGGATGTTCCTTTTACCACGTGATTCAGTAAAACATTTTGTTTTTATATGTTTTCTGGTTTACACTGCTGCAGAAATTTCAGTTTGCCACAGAATTTAGTATTAATATTACATAATTGTTTTGGTATAGCAGTTGTCTGGGAAAAAGGAAGTATCTGGCAACTTGTGAGAGGGCCAATATCAAGTAGGTCCTCTTGGAAGTGAAAGATTTGGAATCTTGTTACTGGAGAAAGATTTGCAACCTTCACATGGACATGGGTTGCTTGGGGTTTTGTTTTATCCTCAGACCTTGTGTCAGATCCATTCAGATTTTCTATTTCAGACCGACAGATGTGGTTTTAACAATTTAATTTTTTAGGGTTGAGAGAAACTTGTATGGCATGTGTGGCAATTTTGCTTTTGAAAAGGAATGACACATGGTTTGGAAATGACACATTGCTCTTTAAAATGTTTTCCTGGCAGTTTTGATTTCCTTGGGAGGGGCTTCCACTGGGATGCTGCCTCAAAGCAGCTTTAAGTGGGAGCAGGCAGATTTTTGACTTGTATCTTGACTTTGAGAGCCTCTATCTTGATTCTGTGCCTCTGTCTTGATTCTGAAGGCTGAATTTAATAGTATCCTCTGCAATCCAATATTCTTCAAGTAAGCTTTTTGAATAGTTCTAAAGTTCTAAAGCCTGTTCTTGGAAAGCTGGCAGCAATATCAGGTTGTATCTGAAAGGAAGGTAAGGCTTTGACACAGAACCACACAGAATATGAACATTGTAGAGAAGCAGTGTCAAATTAAATTTTAAGGACAAAATATTGCCCCATTGAAGTTAATGGACATTTTGCCATTGATTTCAGTGCAGCCAGGATCTCAACCAGAAGAAAGCAAATTCCCTTACATATGTCACTGATAACACTCTGCATTATTACAAAGGTAATAATTAAAAAAATAATACTTTCACTTGTTTTTGCTAAATATTTGCAAAATACGCCCTGCATCCTAAAATGCCCATAGTACAAGCATAGGCCAAGTCCCATGCACACCTCACTTCAGGACTGGGGCCAATGGGAATAGGTTATAATCTCATATACCTATACATACTTAGAAATGTAAAGACATATTTTCCATTCTTAAAATATTTCTATATGAACTGCTTTGATACTTAAGATGTCTGCACAGTTTCATGAACACTAGTACTGTAAATAATTGATGTAGTACACAGAGCCCTTCATACAAACATTTAATTCTTAAACAAGTCTACTTCACATTTGTAGTTTACCCTGGATACTCTAGCAGTTTATTATTTAAAAAATGTGAGTCCTGCGATAGGTCTTCAAATAAAAAGGTTTAGTGTATTTTTATATATTTAGTTTGGGACAAAAGAAAAAGTATTTTTAAATAGCTTTACTTTAAAAAAAATATTGGATCGTATTTTAGGCTGACATGAACTGGTAAAGTTCTAATTCTCAAGTGATCTGTTAACTATGCATTTTCAATGTATTACATGGTTTTATAACCAAAGAAGTCTACTTAAAGCAAATAGAAGATATATTGATAAAACCCCTGTGGTGTTTTTAAAAATGAATGTTTAGTGTGTGTGTGTGTATATATAGTATGTAATAACTAAGCCTTTTAGTTATCAAAACAGTTTTATTTATTGTTGTTAGTTTTCTGT